AAAAAAAGCTGAAGATAGTAATAGATGCCAATAATCACAGTATTGAAAAGCCTGAGCTAGGATTGTACATCACAAAATCAAGACCAATCTGGGTAATTTAGCAAGAGAACTACCTCAAAATTAAAACTTTGAAAAGTTCTGGGGATGTAGCTCAGTGATAGAGCACGTGTTTCACAAGGCAAGGCCCTACGTTCAATCCCCAACATGGAAATAAAAAATTCAGAGAATTTGCTATTTTTAGGGGTTTTCATTTTGTTAAAAATCTATCCTGGCACTGGGGAAATGGCTCAGTGGAATAAGCGCTTCCCTGGCAAGTGCAAGGACCTGAGTTCAATCCCTGGTTCTAAAAAAAAAAAAAAAAATCTATCCTGTATAAATAGACAACACAGTTGTCAGTGTTATCAGGAACAGTCTGCAGCCACTGCTCAAACATCTTATTTACCTCCCTATTCCTAAAATCCCTGCGTCCCCTCCCCTCCTCTTCTAAGAACAGGAGCTAGGAGCCTCCTTTGTGCTCTAATGCCAGTGCTGCCAGAACTCCTGGGTGCTCAGCAAGCGGGCATTGCCCTGTATTTGCCCAAGACTATCTGAGGGAATACAAAAGAAAGGAAAAGAGAAAGAAGGAAGAGAAATTGATCCTTCTTGGTCCTCGTGCTTATGGTTCTGCAGATATGGCTTTTGAGGTATGCAGGTCCTTCACTGGGACAAGGAGTTGAGAACAGGAGAGGTGACATCAAGCAGGTCTTGATTCCCTGTGCCTGGCTCTATAGATGTTGACATTCTCATCCTCATCCCGCTGGGCCAGCTCCAGTTGGAAGTGCTGGGGCAGGAGGTGCTGAAAGAAGCTCTCTGTCCCATGCTCCTCTCTCATCTTGGAGGCCAGATAGATGGTGCCATGGGGCCCACACAGGTGTTGGAGGGTCCCCAGCAGCAGTGGGAAGGTGGGCTCCAGGTACACGATATCTGCCCCCAGCACCAGGTCATAGTCGCCAGGGAAGACATGCTGGTCAATCCCCCAGGACAAAGCGCGGACCTGCGCCCGGCCTCCAGCTGGTACATTAGCCTGGACGTTGCCCTGGATCTGCTCTAGGGCCAGAGGCAGGTCAGTGATGGTAACATCCCCCCCTGAGAGAGAGCAAGGGGGAGAAATGCAAGTCAGAAGGCCCAGCCTGGAAGGCCCCGAGACCTCAAGGCCAAAAGGACGATGTTTTGACAGCCCAAAGTCCACACTGACTTTGAGCTCCCCTGACTCCACGTTACCCACTGGCATTCTCATTACTCTACATTCTACAACATCAACATTCTCTCTGAGCTAATCTTCAACCTGTCTGCCCCACACACAACAATCAGAGGTCAGCAGAAGCCCAGGTAGGACTAAGCTGTGGATAGGCTACGCATCTACCCCCTCTGGCACAAACCTGTCTGCAGGGGTCTGGAAAGCCTCTCAGAAGACTCGGCCTCAGCTGAGCCCTAAAGAACAAGTAGGAGTTATTCAGGTGCATCTTCCCAAGCAGAGAAATAGTGAGTACAACGGCTTGGCCAGGAAACAGCATGGCATATCCACGGAAGGTTGTACGTCCTTTTTTTTTTTTTTCCCCTTTCGGTACTAGGGATTGAATTTACTGAGATACCACCCCAACCCCTTTTTAAGAAATTTTTTAAGTCTTTTTTTTTTTTTACTAGAAATGTTTATAATCTTGAGCTAAGATCTTGAAAAATTGCTAAACTGCCAAAGCTGGGTTCAAATTTATAATCCTCCTTCCTTAGCCTTCCCAGACTGCTGGGATTATAAGCAGGCACTGCCACACCCAGCTGGAAAGCTGCATCTCAGAGGATGTGGAAAGGAGAAAAATGTCAAGACATAAAACTGGAGGATTAAAAAAAAGAAAAAGACTGTAGGATTATGTCATGTGAGCACACAGAAAGAAATTCAAGAGATTCAAGTTTGACATGAGCAAGGGTGAAGATTAGCATTTCAGAAAAAAAAAGATTAGTATTTCAGAAACTGTAATACATGCAATAAAAATATGTATTGAGCACTTACTAAGAGCTATAGAGTGGTGAACAAAACTAAGTCTTGGGGCCGGAGAGATAGCTCAGTAGAATAAGTGCTTGCCTGGCAAGTGCAAGGTCCTGAGTTCAATCCCCGGTACCACAAAAAACAAAAAACAAAAAACAAAAAACAACCAAGTCTTGCTTTTCCTTGAATTTCATTCTAGAGGTAGAAATACATATGGTCTACAAAATAGCCTAATCATAATCACAGAAGCATTATAGGAAAGGAAGCAAGAAATATAAACCTTCATTTACTCATTTTTGTCATGTGCCCCTATCTGCCAGGTACTGGGAGTACAGCAGATGAACAAAAGTCGTTCTCCATGGAGCTTACAGTCTGGCAGTAAGAAATGAAAGACAACATGGAATACAAAATAAGATGCACTGTGTGTCAAGTGACAGTAAGTGCTACAGTGAAGCTCCAAGCAGGGAAAGGGAGTAAGAACCACTTGAAGGTCAGGGCAGGGAATGGAATTTGAAGTAGGACGGTTGGGGAAAGCCTCACTAAGCAGATTGTTTGGGCAAAGAGCTGGAGGCAGCAGTGGCACAGACCACGTGGATCTCCCAGGCTAAAGTCTACCGAACTACAGACCAGCAAGCACAGTGACCTCGAGGCAAGACTGCACCTGACAGGTGGGAAGTGTCGTGGGGGAGGCCGCAGCGCGAGCAAAATGAGCAAAGAGGATAATAGCTGAGGTTGGATCCTAATCAAGGAGAAATCTGGGTTTTAGTCTGGGTGATACAGAAATCAATGGAAGAACCTTAAACAGAAGAACAGCAGTGGAAATTGACTTGTGGTTTAAGAAAAGTATTCTGGTTGCTGCAGTTAGAAAAGACTGCAGGGGGTGGTGACCCACATCTATAATCCCTGCACTCAAGAGGCTGAGGCAGGAGGCTGAGGTAGGAGACTCCATCTCACCAGGAGTTCAAGGCCAGCCTGAACTACATAGGGAGCCCCTGTCTCAAAAACAAAAAATAATAACAAAATCCAGAAATGATTGCAGAAGGGCAAGGTCAGAGGCAAGGAGACCAGTTAGGAGGTGGCAGTAGTGACAGTCTGAGAGATGATGGTGGTCTTAATAGGTGGCAGTGATGGCTAAAGTCAGATCCTGAATATATTTTAAAGGCAGGATTTACCACAGATTGAATATAAAAGAGAGAGAAACAGAGACAGATAGAGATAGATGGAAATAGAGGAAGACAGAGAGATAGAGAATGAGAATGAATGAATATGAGATGGTAAGAGATTCCAGGCATTCAGCCTGCCCAACTATAAGACCCAGATGGCCTTGTGTTTAAGTAAAGAGAACGACAGGAGGAGCAGGTCAGGCCAGGAGATTATGACTTCATTTCTAGACACATTACATTTGAGACAATCATCAGACAGCCACATGAGGATACTGACTAGGCAGTGGGTCATACAAACATTTCTGGAGATAAAAATGAGAGAATCAGGGGCCAGGGAGATGGCTCAGTAGAGTAAGTGCTTCCCTGGCAAGTGCACGTGTTCCTGGTTCCAGAGAGGGAGGGAGGGAGGGAGGGAGGGA